TGTTGGAATAACTTGTTCGTGTTCGTTTGTAACTCGTTCGACTAACTTGTAAATACCTGTTTGAATAACTCGTTCGATAACTTGTAAATACCTGTTCGAATAACTCGTTCGAATAAAAAATATACACTAACTTTCCAATTCATGCTATAAAAAACAAATATACAACAATTTATAATTCATACCCATTTAATTCAACATTTGCAAATAAACAAACTCTCTATCTATATTTATATTTTAAATAAATCAATAAAAACTCGGTAAATTAAAATAACTAACCATCATAAATAATAAAACTTCAAAATAAATTAAACAGAACAATAAAACTTCAAAATAAATTAAACAGAATAATAAATCGTTCAAAACAAATTGCGGGTTTGGACTTTGGATTTTTAAAATTTGGGCTGGGAAAATGTGGGTTTCGACTTTGGACTTTGGATTTTCAAAAAAAAATCAAAAAATCAAAAAATCAAAAAAAATAAATGAATAGTAACTCTAAAAATTCACTCCCTCATACTCCATACTTACTCCACCTCTTTATTCATATGTTTGAACGAAGTCTGGATGATTTTTTAGAAGGAACAGATGAGCGATGAGCTTTCCTCTTGACTCTTTTCTTAGGAGGAGCAGTAATAGTGACTGCAAGTCCTCAACTTGTACATCAAAGGCAGCAATAGATGTTGTCTCAACAACATCATAGGATGATTCTTCATGGACAGGAGGTGTGTTTTCTTTGACAGGAGGAGGGGCATTTTCTACAAAATGCACATGAGAGACATGTCCTTATTTGGAGTGTTGTTCACTTTCATGTGCAGCTGCATCTTTGGAGTGCTCATCACCTTCATGAGCAACTTCTTCTTGTTGAACAATAGTAGTAGGAACAGAAGTAGGGATAATAGTACGAACATTAGGAACTGTAGTAGGTTTAGTCTGAATAGGGGAAGCTGAATTTTTCTGCACTTTGTTCACTACATTCTCCACTCTGTCTAGCCTACCATTGAAGGAGAAGTGCATTTCCTTCACATATTGGAGAACATTCTCCATTAGATTTCTAGGTCCTACATTGCATCAAACAGCTTGGACTGCCAAGTGTTAGCGCGTACATGTTCACTAGTAGAGGATGATGGAATGTTCCCCGATGGCAGTTTAAAAGACTTCTTGGTGACAGTCTTTAGTTTTAGCATAGGCTCCACTTCATAGAATTTTGGTATGTAATTGTTGTAATGATCCTATGGATAAGGGATGGGAAAGGCAAAATCTAAAGGGCATGTGTGGATTGAGTAGCCACCCTAATGGTAGTGAAAATGAGAAAAGCCAAATTGATTTTCTTTCCTACCCTATCCCATAAAAAAGTTGAGCTCTTTCAGGCCTAACCGTGGAATTGTGCATTGAAGGGGACCAATTTATAAGGGAATTTTTGAAAAACATGTAGTAAAATGATGTAAGGGCACTAGGTTGAAGAGAACCACTTCTCAGCCACTTTACAATTAACCCACCAGTCACAGCTATAACAAGCTTGTCTAACTCCAGACATGACAATTATAGGGTTTCTTAATAGATTTTAGTCCTAAGCATCCCTTACAACCTTTTCATTAAAAAAAACCTAATGACCTTTGACATAGACTNGGTTTATTGTAATATATGATCAATACAAATGTGTGATTAATTTAGGTTTAATTAAACTATTATATTATTAAATTTGTTATGTTGTACATCACTTGATTATACAATATGTTATGTTTATCAATTTACCATACTATATTTATTATTTATTAATTGAAATGCTATCTTATAATATTTAATTATTGATTACATTTGGAAAAATATGAAGCTATTATGTTATTGGATTTGCTATATTATATGTTGAGCAATTTGGAAGAAGAGCAATTGATTCGGGTTTTGAGAGAACATCGATTAGCAATTGGATGGACTATTTCGGATATTAGAGGCATCTCTCCATCTTTTTGCATGCATAAGATACTCATGGAGGATGATACCAAGCCTAGAGTTCAACCACGACGAAGATTGAACCCTTCGATGAAGGAAGTGGTGAGAAAGGAGGTGGTGAAACTTCTAGATGTGGGAATAATTTATCCCATTTCTGATAGTCCATGGGTGAGTCCGGTGCAAGTGGTTCCGAAGAAGGGAGGTATCATAGTGGTAAAGAATGAGAGCAATGAATTGATACCAACTAGGACGGTCACAGGCTGGAGAGTGTGCATTGACTACCGGAAATTAAATGAAGCAACAAGGAAAGATCATTTTCCACTTCCGTTCATTGGTCAGATGTTGAAGAGATTGGCAGGGCATGCTTATTACTGTTTCTTGGATGGTTATTCAGGATACAATTAGATTTCCATCGCTCATGAGGATCAAGAGAAGACAACCTTCACTTGTCCCTATGGCAACTTTGCGTACCGAAGAATGCCCTTTGGTTTGTGCAATGCACCAGCCATATTTTAGAGATGCATGATGTCGATCTTTGGAGATATAATAGAGCGGTTTATAGAAGTCTTCATGGATGACTTCTCTGTTTTTGGTTCGTCCTTTGATAATTGCTTATCTAATCTCTCTTCTGTTTTGCAGCGATGTCAGAAGACGAACTTGGTGCTCAATTGGGAGAAGTGCCACTTCATGGTCCAGGAAGGAATAGTGCTTGGTCATAGAATCTCAAAGGATGGAATAGAAGTGGATCGAGCAAAGACGAAAGTGATTGAGAAGCTGCCACCACCCTCCAATGTTGAAGCAGTTCAAAGTTTCTTGGGGCATGCGGGGTTTTATAGACGGTTCATCAAGGATTTTTCTAAGATTTCTAAACCCCTTTGCAATTTATTGATTAATGATGTTGCTTTTGATTTTAATGATGAATGCATGCATGCCTATCAAACTCTAAAAAAGTTATTAGTATCTGCACCTATTATTGCAGTCTCTGATTGGGGACTACCATTTGAATTGATGTGTGATGCTCGTGATTTTGCTTTAGGAGTAGTGTTAGGACAGAGGAAAAACAAAGTGTTGCATGTAATTCAGTATGCTAGCAAAACACTCACTGATGCACAATTGAATTGCACCATGTAACAACTGCTGTAAACTAGTAAAATGCTTGCATAATAATAATAGAAGATGGGCCCAAAACTTTTCTTTTTATTATATGTAATAAGTCTTTATACACAAAGAGCATTATTTACAAAATGCCATTTAAAAAGACAAAAACAGGGGAAACAGTGTGGCTATTGCTCCTCACTTGCCGACGCCCCTCCGACTGCATCATCACCTAGATCCTGCATCCACAAAGGAAAATGACGGGGTGAGCACAAAATAATGCTCAGTAAGTAAACCCTCTATTTGTCTATCCCCGTAACTCTTTTTCTTAATTCCTTCCTCACACTTTCTTTCTATTGTTTTCTACTAACGTCATGGCCTTATCTTACCGGAGGTACGACCGAATGGCATTCACACAGCACCATCTCACTCTCCATGACTGTCGGGTGGAGTTCACACAGCACCAACCCGCTCTTAATGACTACCGAGTGGGGATCACAAAGCACCTACCCAGTTTTCATAACTATCGGGTGGAGACCACAAAGCACCTACCTGTTTCTCATGACTTTCGGGTGACGATCACAAAGCATCCACCCGTTTTTAATAACTATCGGGTGACGATCACAAAGCATCAACCTGTTTCTAATAACTATCGGGTGACGATCACAAAGCATCAACCCGTTTCTAATAACTATCGGGTGACGATCACAAAGCATCAACCCGTTTCTAATAANTCATAATTTACTCCAAGAAAGGAAACTATATTTTTTTACTCATACAATGAACTTAATTAAGAAAATATATATATATGTTTTTAAACTACAAATTTATTCTTTAAATAGGATTTTAAAATAAACTTCTTTCCTAGGTGTGCGTTTTCTAGGTTCTCAATGGCCAAGGGATACTTAGGAAATACCCGGTTAGGGAGGGCTTTTACAGTTGGTATCAGAGCACGGTTTTGGGTGTTCGAAATGATGTTTTGATTGAATTGTTATAGTTATTTTATATTTAATTGATGATGGAAATGGTGTTTGTAAGTAATGGAAGTATCATTCCTCATGCGTCCCTAAGATACTCTCTCCAGCTGATTGTTGTAAGTATTTTCTTTACTTGTTTAGTGAATAGAATTAACTAATGTTGATTGAAATTTGTGTGAGTAAAGGGTATGGCTACGAGGCGTTCATGAAAGGTTAATAGGAGGGGCGAGGAGAATGTTAATGAAGCAGGCACTAGTGAGCCAGTAGCACCGACTACCAATGTGCCCCCTAATAGTGGACCAGCTACGTCTACCTAAAATGCTTCTGTTTTGGATTAGGCTTCAATCAACAGGATGATTCAGGCAGCCATTACTGAGGCCTTTAGGAGGGTTATCCCAGAGGGTATAAGTAACCAAGTGAACACAAATCCCTCAGCTCCAGTAGTTCAGCCTCAGCTCCAAATACCAGTTCCATCTCCAGTAACCGGACCAGTTATGCCAATGGATGCTACACCTTCTGGACAAGTAAAACCAATCTATAATCTTTCTCAAAAGCACCAACCTCCTGAGTTCAGTGGTTCAAATGATCCAGCTGTGACAGAGGAGTGGTTAGAGACTGTCGAACGGGCAATGGCCTTGTTTCCCATGAGTGACCAGGAAAAAGTCTGCTATGCTTCCTATTTGTTGAAAGGAGATGCCCGGGTATGGTGGAAGTTAATGGAGCATACCTATGTGACGAGTGCTCTTTCTTGGAATACTCTTTAACAGTCATATTACCTTGTTTCAATTCCGTGAACTCTTGAGTCTTTATGGATAACATGTCTAGATTGTTATAGCGGGTGGTCAGCCTCCCCAGACTTATAGTAAGGCCCTGGAACAGGCATTAAGAGCAGAGATTTATGTGAATAAGGAGTGGCGGATAGAGAACCCCAAGTTGGTGATTGGTAGTTCTAGTTCAGGCTAGACAGCATTTCAGAAAGTTGAAATGGGGAATTCCACTCAAGCCTCGGAGGACAAACGTAAAAGAAAGTTTCAGCAAGGATTTCAAAAGAAGGGTGGCAAGAATAAAAGGACTCCACAACAACAACAGAGAAGGAATAATCTTCCCCATTATCACAAATGTGGGAGGCAGCATAAAGGGAATTATATATTAGGGACCAATGTGTGTTTCAAATGTAAACAACCGCGACACATGGCAAAGGACTGTAAAGTTACTCAGGCTACTTCCCTTCAGACTGTTGGAGGTTCAACTGCCAAAGTTTACTTAGTGGCTCAAAAAGAAGTCGAAGCCAATCCATCTGTAGTTACTGGTCAGTTACAATTCCACTCTATCTCTTTATATGTACTGATTGATTCTGGGGCTACCTATTCTTTTATCTCATATGGTATTATAAAAAGATTAGGTTTAGAGCCTTGTAAAGTGGAACATGCTGTTAAAATCCAGATGCTTAATGGGGAGAATTATTTTGCTGATAAGTTGTTGATGGGGGAAACTATAGTGATTGATGGGCATGAGTTGAATGTTGATTTGATTATTTTTGATATGCCTGATTTTGATATGATTTGGGGAATGGACTTCCTGAGCAAATATGGAGTATTGATAGATTGTCTAAAGAAGAAGGTCAGGTTTAACTTAGATGCTGGAGACAGTTTCACCTTTGGGGAAGGTCATCTACACAGCCTGATGATAAGTGCAGTGAAGGCAATGAAGATGATAAGGAAAGGTTGTACAGGGTACATGGCTAATGTTGTGAATAAAGAAAAGTTTCCAAACTTCAGTGTTCGGGATGTACCCATAGTATAAGAATTCGAAGATGTATTTCCAGAAGATTTGCCAAGACTTCCTCTAGAAAGGGAAGTGGAGTTTTGTATAGAATTAGCTCCTGGTACGACACTAATATCTAAAGCCCCGTATAGAATGGCTCCAGCAGAGTTACAAGAGTTAAAGAAGCAGCTTCAGGAGTTGTTAGATAAAGGCTTCATTTGACCTAGTCATTCTCCATGGGGAGCTCCTATTTTATTTGTGAAGAAAAAAAATGGTTTGATGATAATGTGTATTGATTACAGGGAGCTCAATAAGGTGATAGCGAAAAACAAGTATCCATTGCCAAAAATTGATGACTTGTTTGATCAGTTAAAGGGAGCTTCGGTGTTTTCCAAGATTGATCTTCGGTCAGGCTACCATCAAGTGAGGGTCGCTGACAAGGATATTCCCAAGACTGCATTTCGAACCCGATATGGGCATTATGAATTTATAGTGATGCCATTTGGATTGACTAATGCACCAGCGGTGTTCATGGATTTGATGAATAGGATTTTCCATGATTGTTTGGATAAATTCTAGTAATTTTTATAGATGATATCCTGGTCTATTCCAAAACAAAGGAAGATCATGAAGAGCATTTGAGATTTGTGTTACAAAGACTAAGGGAGAAAAAGTTATATGCTAAGTTCTCCAAATGTGAGTTTTGGTTGGATCAAGTAACATTCTTGGGACATGTTGTTTCACAAAAGGGTATTGCAGTGGACCCCAGCAAGATTGAAGCAATGATTGAATGGCCAAGACCAAAGACTGTAAAAGAAGTTAGAAGTTTTCTTGGTTTAGCAGGTTATTACAGGAAATTTGTGGAGGCTTTGCTAAATTAGCTTCACTTCTCCACTCACAGCTCTGACAAACAAAGAAGCCCTGTTTAGATGGACTGAAACCTGTGAGAAGAGTTTCCAAGAATTGAAAAGAAGATTAACTACTACTCCTATTTTAACCATTCCAGAGGATGGAGTAGATTATGATATTTATACTGATGCTTCTCATAATGGTTTGGGGGCGGTATTGATGCAAAAAGGCAAGGTGATTTCTTATGCCTCTCGTCAACTGAAAGACTATGAAAAGAGGTATCCCACTCATGATCTTAAATTAGCAGCTGTCATTTTTGCTTTGAAGATTTAGAGATATTATCTCTTTGGGGTAAAATGTAATATTTACACAGATCATAAAAGTCTCAAGTACTTTTTCACCCAGAAAGAATTGAATATGAGGCAGAGAAGATGGCTTGAGCTATTGAAGGACTATGAATGTGATATTATGTATCAGCCAGGGAAAGCTAATGTAGTTGCAACTGCCTTCAGCAGAAAAGTCTCCTTAGCTCAATTAACTTTTTAGAAGCATTTGCAACAGGAGATAATGAAGGAGGGGATAGAGTTGGAGATTGGGAAATTGTCCAAAATTGAAGTTCGGTCTAAGTTGTTAGAGGAAATTAGAGAAAAACAAGTGGATGATGGGTTTAGTAAAGGAATTGAGCAGCAGTTGAAAGATGGCAGAGAATCAGAATTCTAATTGGTGAATGGAATCCTGAAATTTAGAGATAGAGTGTATGTTCCTCAGGATATTGAGTTAAGAAAGAAGATTTTAGAGGAAGCACATAGTACTCTTTACACTGCTCATCCAGGGAGTGTAAAGATGTATCAGGATTTGAGGAAGAGTTATTGGTGGCCAGGGTTAAAGAAAGATGTAACTAAGTATGTTACCAGATGCTTGGTGTGCTAGCAGGTTAAAACAAAACATCAGCACCCTTCAGGATTGTTGCAGCCCCTTAGTATTCCTTCCTGGAAATGGGAAGATATTTCTATGGATTTCATTTTAGGTTTTCCTAGGGTGCAAAAGGGTTATAATGCCATTTGGGTGATTGTAGATAGATTGACTAAATCTGCTCATTTCATTCCAGTTACAAACAAGATCTCCTCTGATCAGCTAGGTCGATTATATGTCAAAGAAATAGTAAGATTACATGGAGTACCTGGTAGTACTGTCTTAGACAAGGATGTGAAATTTATGTCAGTATTCTGGAGTAGCATGCAAAAGACATTGGGTAATAGGCTTAATTTCAGCATAGCCTATCATCCTCAGACGGATGGACAGACAGAAAGAACGAATCAAATATTGGAGGATATGTTACGGGCATGCTGTAATGATCACAAGTTGAATTGGTGTGACATTCTCCCTCTAGTTGAATTCGCTTATAACAATAGTTATCAAGCAACCATTAAAATGGCACCATGAAGCTTTGTATGGAAGGAAATGTAGATCTTCGTTACATTGGGACGAAATAGGAGAAAAGAATGCATTAGCTCAAGCTCTTGGTCCAGAAATGACACAAAAAATGATAGAAGATGTAAAGTTAATCCACGAGAGAATGAAGCAAGCCCAAGACAGACAGAAGAGCTATGCAGACCCGAAAAGAAAGGATATAGAGTTCCAAGTAGGAGACAAAGTGTTTGTGAAAATCTCTCCTTATAAGAGGGTGATGAGGTTTGGAAGAAAAGGGAAGCTTGCCCCTAGATATATCGGTCTATATGAGGTATTAGAGAAAGTGGGCAAAGTAGCTTACAGACTAGCCTTACCAGCTAGTATGGACTGGATCCATAATGTTTTCCATGTTTCCCTATTGCGAAAGTATGTTAGTGATCCTTCACATATACTACAAGCAAATGAAGTGGAGTTAAAAGATGAACTAATTTATGAAGAACGACCAGTTCAGATTCTGGATAGAAGAATAAAGGAGCTCTGAAATAAGAAAGTACCGCTTGTTAAAATACTGTGGAGGAATCATAATGTAGAAGAAGCGACATGGGAGGTTGAGCAAGATATGAAGGAAAGATATCCAGAACTCTTGAACTGAATTTCGAGGACAAAATTCTTATAAGGGGGGATGATTGTAAACCCCGCGGTATTCTTCTAATGCCTTAAGGTATGAAATTTACCTTTTCAAGTAATTTTCTTTTTTTGAATGGAAGGGTAAAATGGTCAATTTACATGTATTTCTAGATGTGGCCATTATAAAGTGTAAGAGGTGATGTTATTGAAGAGAAATGAGGGTAGAATGGTCATAAAGTTGATGTATATGGTTAAATGGCGTAAACGGTAACCAAGGGTATAATGGTCTTTTCATACAAATCCAATTGAAATAAGTATCCATAAAAGTGCACCAAGGGTAAATTATTCATTTACCTAATGGGATTTCTTAATTGTTAAGTGTTTTAAAGAAGTCAAATGGCATTAAATGAGTGCTAATTATTATGTTGTTGTAGAAATGACCAAAACACCCTTATATGAAAAAATTATGCCAAATGACCCTTATATCTAACTTTTATTGACCAATCACATTAGAGTAACAATGGAATAAATATTTACAAGGTTTTAAGAGAGAGTATTTGGCCTTGTACACACCAAATGTATCTTCTTCTTCTTCTTCTCATAAATCCACCATAAAAGCCACTAATCCAAGCATTTTATTCTCAAATTTTCTTAGGATTTCTAGTTGATTTTCAAAGGAGATCACCATCCACACTTAAAGAACTTCAATTTTAGGGTTTAAGGTGAGTTTTGAAACCCTAGTTTTTCCGATTAGCGCTCACCCCACGAAATGTTTTAAAATGTTTTCCAGGCAAGGATTAAGGCATGAAGCTGGAAGAGGATTCTGAGGGACGCTATGAGCATGAAGGGATGTTTTAATGATGATTGTTGAATGGTTTTGCTAGTATTTTGTGTAGTAATTATGTTCATATTTCATAATGCAACAAATCTGTCCATGTTCTATAATGGAGTAAATATGTTGTGTTAATAAAGGAAATCAAATTGCTAGTAAATTTTGTAAAAGTGTGTATGTTCTAGTAAGTATTACTATGGATTTCATAATTTACTCCAAGAAAGGAAACTATATTTTTTTACTCATACTATGAACTTAATTAAGAAAATATATATATATATGTTTCTAAACTACAAATTTATTCTTTAAATAGGATTTTAAAATAAACTTCTTTCCTAGGCGTGCGTTTTCTAGGTTCTCAATGGCCAAGGTATACTTAGGAAATACCCGGCTAGGGAGGGGTTTTACATAAATGGTCCGAACCCTTCATAGTTACAAGAGTTTACCCATTCGGAGCGGTGGAGGTGTCACATGAAGAAAAAGGCACATTTAAGGTCAATGGCCAGACGTTGAAGCCATACGTCCACGGAGTGATGAGTTGCAAGTCAATTCCCCTCTATAAACAAGCGCTTGACATTCCGACATGAGAACTTGAAAGAGTCGAGCTTCCCGACTATAAACAAGCGCTTCTTGGGAGGCAACCCAAGTGTTTTCCTTTGCTGTTGTTAATTTTTTATTCGCTTAGTTTTCTTATGATTGTAGATGAAGTCTAATTTGAGTGTTTTTGGGTGTTTTAGGTGAATTATCAAATCAAGGCGGAAAATGGAATTGTCCAGTTTTCGCCGCGGCGAAGCAAATTTGTGAAAATTTGGAATTCGAAAAGTCCCAGACTTCGCCGCGGCGAAGTATCTTTTTCACCGAGGCGATGCGTCTCTATATTTTTTTGCTGCGGCGAAGCAACTTGAGCAAAATTCATGAAGGGAAATTTCTCTACGGCGAAGAAAGTTCTTCGCCGGGGCGATGCGCTACTGTAATTTTTCGCCGCGGCGAAGAATTTATCTTCGCCGCGGCATCGACTGGGTTTAGTTTTAGGGTTTGAAAATGAAGAACTTCGCCGCAGCGAAACCTGGTTTTTATAAAAACGTGCGTGACCTTTCATTTTTTTGCAAAACTTTTCAAAGCCATTTGAGAGAAAAATTTTCCAACTTCAATCCAAAGCCCTCCCAGTGATTTTCCAGCAAAGTTTCTCACTCCTTAACCCTTCATAACACCAAAACAACTCGATCTAACCAAGATCTTTGTGAAAAATTGAAGAAATTTGTGGGTTCAAGAAATTGGGGATTTTGCAATCTAGGTGATTTTTGGCTAAATTGGTGGCGAA